GCAGGCAACAAGGAAGTGGAGTAGACCTGATGACTAAGACCTATCTACAGTATAGGTACCTGTGGATGATCCTAAGAGACCAAGTCTGAAGAGACAGTCCCAGGCAGAGTAGGCCTTATATTTATACCTCTGTGGTGGAACCTGCTAGAACATCTTGCTTACTCAGCCTAGTCAGGTGATCAGGTCATATGACCAAGGATGAGGTCATATGAGGTCATGCACAGCCATGCACAGCAGGTCACCTGACCATCCAATCCTTCCAGCAGGTTCCAGCACATGCCAAGGTATACCAGCTACTTCCATGTCATAAAGGCTTAGTCATGTCTCTTGACCAAGCAATGAGCTGGTGCCCTGACAGACACCATAGAAGAGGAGGAGGGGTTACACATGGTGGATCACTGCTGGAACCCTCAAAGAAAGATGATCAAGTACAGGGTTTGATGGGTCAATTGCAGAGCTGATGAGGACAACTGGTGGTCTGAGAGGGAACTCCGGAACACCAGGGAGTTGTTAGTGGAATACCAGAAAAGCATGGGATTCAAGAAAGGAATAATACCCCCTCCTTGAGCTGTTGCTTCAAATGCTTTGAACCCCGAGGGCCATTGGCTTCAAGGATGGTCACATGGCCTTTTTGAAGTCAGCAAGTACTAACATTCCTTAGCCTTCATTTGCCTCCATGGCAGAGCCTCTTTTAAGGCCCTCTGCCACTGACACTTTCTGTCTCTTCTTTCTCTACAATCATTATGTCCCATTACGCTCAGCTCCACATCAACAATGGCTCCCACTAGCACAACTACATCTTCCGCCCCCTCGCCTCCTTTGCGGGAACCTTCGGGTGTCTTGCAGGAGAGGTCAACTTCTCTCTCCCGCTGCTCAGACCTCAGCTTAACCAATACTCTCATTTCAACTGATCCCCCTTCCTCTAACAAAGCCGCTTGCAGACTGTTAGCTAGGATTCAGATGCAATCCCCTGTGCTGGACAATTCCCCACAATCATCACTCCCTTCCACATCACCTTCTGCCTACTTGACACTTGACAATACTGTGCCCTTGTTGCTTCTTCCAGGAGAAGATGGAGAAGATGATGACAATCTTACTTTGGCTCCCACAGGTCCGGGTACCAGACCCAATGTCAACCTCCCCATGGCTCAAATTTTGCCATTCTTATGCTCCAACTTTGACCAGTTCTACATACCCCCCAGCCTGAACCACATCCTCATGTCTCTCAGCCTTCCTGCTATTTCTCGCCCAAAAGGAAAAAGGGGCAAGGAAAAGGTGCACTTGCAACAATGTGAAGCATTTGAATCAAACATATCAGACCAATATGTGAGCATCTGCCAGATGGAATTGCTTCTATGGCTATGGACATGTTTTGCTCATGAAACCTGCTTCCAAACCAGATTAGCTATCCTCCATCCTGGCCTAACTGTCAAAGAAGTCTATCATTTGAATTGCATTCTGGATGCCTCCAGGGGAGATTACCTGTGGTTACAACTGCATCTGCAATCATACTCTGCCACTATAAATTTACTGGAAGTCACTCTTTTCTGATGCTCTCTGGATTGCTCACTTCTGCCAGCCTTACAAGACATACTCCAGTGGGAGAAGAACCTCAATTAAGAAGGATGGCATGAACTTATACTTCCCTGAGATTGGGATGCGACCAGACTACTCCGACTGCATCCATCCACTTCTCCAGCCTGCCACCTGGGAGAATTCACTTGGCCTCCTTTTCTCTCAGACCACCAGAAAGACAAGGTGGGTTCAACAATGTTTGACCCCCCTAATTGCTACCAAGCCAAATTCTTGATACAAGCCTTCTGCATGACTCCTACAGAATGTCTTCCCTCCTATTTGAGCAACATACTATTTGCTTGAGAAGGGAAAGGCCATTTCCCAGAATCAGCCTGGTCAGGGTCCGGACTCTGTCATGCTAAGGCTCACCTCAGATCTCCCTGCCATCCTGACAGCTCCCCTCAAGACTGTTGCCACCACCACTGACAAAAC